GAGCCCGTGCATGGGACGCGGGGCTGCAGGTCCGCCCCGTAAGCCGCGCGCCCGGTCGCCCGGGGGAGCAGGTTTGCCCTCCGCGCCGTGGCCCGCGCGCCAGGGAGCCGCCAGCCGCGCTGCGTAGCGCCCCTCCGCCCTGGAACTTTTCCCTCGCGCCTCGGCTCCCCCGCGCCTCTCTTGGATGCTTTTGCCAGCCTCCCCCCTTCCCCAGCACCCGCCGCCGGCGCTTCTTCCTCCCAGAGCAACAGCCTCTGCTGCTGCCGCCGCCGCCGCCGGGGTTGCTCCGCCAGAGGCAGCGCCATGCACACGGTGCAAAAGGACACTACCTTCACCAAGATCTTCGTCGGGGGGCTGCCCTACCACACCACGGACTCCTCGCTAAGGAAGTACTTCGAGGTGTTCGGGGACATCGAGGAAGCCGTGGTCATCACGGACCGGCAGACGGGCAAATCCCGAGGATATGGCTTTGTAAGTGCGCGGGGCGGAGGGTGGACCAGGGTCGCTCGCGAGCCGCCTTGCCCGGAGCCCGGAGCCGTCGGACTGGCTGGCCCTGCAGTTGCCAGACAGGTCTAACAAAGGGTCCGGCGGAGCCTGTGCCGGGACTCCAGGATCGCCTTTCCCCTCCGGGCCCTCTCTGGATGATTTGGGCTCTAACCCATAATCTCCAGCTTCTCCAGGAAGGGGGTGCATATCAGGCTGGTGCCCGCTGAAAAGACATCCAATTCTTTTACATTTCTGTACAATCTTGCCCTGAAAAAAAAAAACAGTTCAAGAAGGATCAGTCCAGAATGTTGCAGAAAATGCCCTTTCTGAGTCTCCTCTTCTCCTCCCATCTGGCTTAAAGCAACTGCTTTCTTCCTCCTTTACCCCAGCTTGGCTCCCCTGTTTATGTTTATACAGTTTAGGAAAACCTAACTCTGTTTCTTCTTCCCCTCCTCCATCCCCGGTTTGAAGCAAACAGCGTTTTCATTGTGACAGGCTGGTTCAAGGGACCCCCTAGCTGCCACAGCTTAACAACTTCACCGGAGCACATGTTCAGCTCAATTAAGGCTGATCTTGTTCTGGTTTTTTTGTGGCTTAGTTGTGTGTTTTTTGTGGCTTAGTTGTGTGAACCTACCCATTCTGTAGGAACTTGGTGAATTTGATCTGTCCTCAGATTAAACATATTGTCTGAACACAGACACTCTCTGGTACATCTCTTTGTACCCTGACTGTGTTGTGTTTCCTGTCCTGGACTTTAAAACAGGTGGGAAGGATCTGGGGAGGGTGTCCAAAGAGGCAGGGATGGAACGTGAGCCATGAGAAGGAATACATCATGCATTAACATCCTCAGAGCTGCAACAGTCCTTTTCAAGTTTTCTAAAACAGATGGAGGTGAATCTCTAGAGAATGAGTTTCAAAAGTGCCTGTGGTTGGCAGAACAGAGGTAGGATGAATCACTGATGTCGGGTGGGGTGGAGGAGAGAACTGGTGAAGATAGTTGACTGCCCATTTTAAACAGAATAGAAAGTGAACAGTTGGATTCGACAATTGCTGTTCTTGAAAGTTCCTTGGTGTTCAGAGATGGAACTGAAGACTTGAGTTCAAAATGCTGCTTATAGTCCTGCCAGGTTCCCTTTAATTGAAGATCAGTATTATTGTCCGTAATAACAGAAAGGAGACTTGGAGACAGTGTGGGGCAATTTGCTTGTCTAGTAAGTCTCTGAATAAATAGAAATATTTGGTTGGTTGTTGTATCTTCTAAAGTCTGTATATGCAGCTGAGGAGCGCTCTCTATCCCCTGTTGGGAAGGTTGTCTTCTGAAATAGGGTCTCATGAAGAAGTTTAATGTTTCCAAGGAGTGATAGCAACTGAACTCATTTTGCAGAGTGGTAGGATGATGGATCTATGGCCCCCAGTGTAATATATCTCTTGGACAAAGAGATGGGAATAACACCAAGCCTGTATCCTCTGTGATGGCATTCTCCATATAGTTCTTGAAACTTGGTACATTCTTTCACTTCAAAGATGGAGATGCAACAGTAAATTGGTGGTTACTTTCCCTGACCTCTGAACAATAGAAAGGCATGTTTTGTGAGACAGGGATGACTTTATATCCTCCCTGTTGCAATTACATTCCAGTTTTGTAAGCATTGGTGGTGCTGTTCTTCCATTTCCCACAACTGTCAACTCTAAGCCATGTTGTTTTTGTGGGTACAACACTACGTTGGAGATTAGTTCCTTGGCTGTAATTTCTGTTACCATTTTCCACCACTGCTTCAAGAAATTAACAGAGGGATAGGAAAGAATAAACTCTTTCTCCAAAATGACTTCCAAACTATTCAAAACGGTAGAGAGAACTGACTGCAACTGCTCATGTTATTGTCCTATCTCTGCATTGTTGAACTGCCAAGTAATTAATAACAGGAAGGTATTTAGAAGCAATGGTGAGAGAGACACTCAGAATGCCACGAGATGTTAATTTTGGTAAGGAGGTATGTCTATCCATTCAGATACAAGCAGATACAGGAAAGTCTTCTTTGAAGAAAGTTCTCCTGGGGATTACAAGCACAGTCCATATAGTTATCTTGGTGAAAAACACAGAAGTGGTTTCCCATTGCTGTTTTCTGGGATATATTTTCACTTTCTCAGAAGAATCTACAGCTCTGAGATTTCCTAGCAGTCTCCCACCCAAGTACCACCCAAATCCAATTCTCCTTAGCTTTTTGAGGTTGGCCAAGATAGCCAGGTGTTCTCACTTAGCTGGGCAATAAGCAGAGTGGACACTTAATAGCCACTGAATGTTAGAACAAAAGTTCCTGACAGTAGCTTCTCTCTCCTTCTCTCAGGGAAGAAGGAAACAGAAATAGCCAACAGTTGTGGACCTTCAGAAGGGAGGAAGATGCAAAGCATGATTAGTAGAGAAGGAGGAAGCATAGGAAACCATGAACAGCCAATAACAAAGGTTTGCTAGAGAGGGAGGAACATATACTGTACTTATATTTAATTCCAAAGAAACAGTAACAATGGCAATTGTAACAATTTTTTGATAATTAAAGAGTGACTAAGGAAGCACTTGAGATACCCTAAAATCAATTTGCAGATGAAAACACATCACAAATAGGCATGAACACATACAGAATACATTGGGATCGTTTAAGCTCTTTGTTTCCCTTAAATTCACTGTATAAAAGTATTGCAATCAGCCAGCACAGATACTGTCACTTATTGTTGATCCAATCCAGGATAGAAAGTATAGAGCAATTAAATGAAAAGTAGCCATATTACAAAAGTCAGCCTCTAGTACCATCTTCATTTACAAGAATCCTGCTGGAATTCCCCTAAGCGTTCCTAGAAAATAAAAAAAAAAAGAGTTAGGAGGTTTTCTTTGCCCTGTGATTTCTTTGGAAGGGTGCCCATGTGGCCAAGACAAAAAGATCACGGTAAGATTAGGTAGTAAAGAGAATGGCAGGAAGTAAGTTTGCCAGTTTACCTTCTTGATAAATCAGTGTTTTGTGACTGGACATGTCCACCATGATAGCCATTTTGTAAATAGGCAGGCCCCTGCAGCAGCCATTTTGTGAGCACACCCATAGCATTCTCTCAGACTTCCAAATCTGCCCACAGAAATGGCCACACAGTCAAAATTCACCCTTCCCTCTCCCCTGATCAGATGTAAGTCTATAGCTCCATCCTTTATTTCACCTACTTCTTCCTTGGCATAATAATACCTGAAACCTCAGACCTTAGATGATATTGCTGTCATAATGTCTCCATGTAATTATTAGCAGTGAACAGACTTCTCTTTATTGTGAGTATTGTAGCCAAAAGGCCATGCAAAAGAGAGTCTTACTGACAGCCTTACAGGGATGTGGAAATCAGAAATTAAAAGCTCCAGAACATGGAGTTTGATAGGAGTCCCAAATTGTCCAATGGGCTACATGTGCTGAGTGCTGACTGAGTGTCTGGGGAAAACTCAAAAGCATGAAGGCATGAAATGAGTGATGGAGTGGAATATCCTAGGATAGAACAGCAATATTTCACAAGCATCACTTGCAAAAACTGTGTTCCTCCGTGCCCTGTTGTGGCTGTCCCTGGAATCTTTTTACATAGCCAATACTCTCAGTCGGTCATCAGTATCAAAGGGCAAGAGACAGGTTCTTCCATGGAGTTTTGAACTATCGGAGGGTACAAATTATGATGATGTGTTATCCCAGGTTCAAAAATAGCACACCTATGGGCATGAGAAGTTTTGCAAGTGCAGCAGGAGACAAAACATAGCCTTGGGTGCTACTTTTGGGCTTCTCAGAGACGTGCATTGGTTATTACTGGAAAGAAGATGCAGCCCTAGATGAGCCTGGTTCAAGAAAGTATGCTGAGTTAGGAAGATGGAGCAGACTGCAACATCCTTTTTGATCAGTGTCCCATTTTGCTCAGTATTTTCTCTATTAATCTTGTCCACACAGTATGATTAACTCGGTCAGTGAGTAACTTGGTCAAATGTTCTTAAGTTCTGCAGCATTCAGCCCCAGTAACTGGGTCAAAAGTTGACATTTTGGGACCACAGAGCCTTCATCTGTTTTCTCCAGGAAATGACTGGTAGCCTGTCTGATGTTGTGCTTGGACATTATTGGCAAGGTTGCGTTACTCTTCATCAATCACCCCTTCCCTGTGAGGCAGACAGCAGTAGGCATGGCTTGACCATGGGAGTCAATGAATGCTTCAGAAGAGTGTTCCGGGCTGCTCTCTGGCCTCTAACATAAAAGCTTGTTTGTATTCGGCCAGTCCATATTGCCAACTTTTTCTCTTAGAGCAATGTTTCTGCTGTAC